CCAGACTTACTGGCGCGCGAGACACGGACCGCCCAAGTCGATTTCCACCCACGCGCTGTCCAACCAACATTCAAGGCCGACCCAGCCAATGAACGCTCTTTCTCTCCCTCTACTAGCCTGACTGCTCTCAAACCAGCACTTGGGCACGGCTGGCTCTCCTGGCTAGTCGTATGCTCTCCAAGTCAAATCTCTTTCCATCTATTCTTCGTTCCTTTGTGTACACAATATACTGTTCCTACTACTCTGGAAAGCACCGACTTCTACTAAGAAACCATAGTCTGAAGATCGCAGTTGCTAGGGTTTAACTCACTTAACCCCCTGCGATATAGACACCTTAAACGATCATCGCAGCATCCCACCACCAGCAGCACAATCCCCAGACTTATAATCGAAATTTTGTCAGACTGGCGACACGCAGGGGGCGGGGTACCTTAGAGTCTATTTGCTGCTAACATGGCTTCTGCGAAAACAGGGGGACACAAGAACAGGAAGAACCAAAAAATAATAATTTATCAAAAACTGGGCTAACACAAAAACACAACCATCTACTTCCGTCCCTCAACCATGATGATGTGGTAACCAAATTTCGTCTTCACGGGGGGATCCGTGTAGATGGGTTTATTGACAGTCGACGGTGTGAGCTCAAATGCCGCATCCTACAATGAACAAGAAGGCAACAGTGAAATATGGGCAGAGGTAAACAAAACGACAAAAAGTCCCGGCGGCAAGTATCGCGCCTACCTGGAAGGGTCCAACCATGGAGCCCCGGGTCATCCAGCCGAGGTCGCCACCGGAACGGGCCTTATCTTCGCTGTACTTCTCCGCCACAGTGTTGAAGTGCTCACCCTTTTTCAACTCCTCCATGGCCTCCATGCACTTACTGTGTTTCTCGCACAAGATGTGTCTCACCTGAAAATGCCATACAAAAGCAAAAGCTGATCACAGAGACGTAGACCAAAAAAACAAGAAAGTTAGATTGAATCAGAACTTTGTCCTCTTCCAGCAGGCTACCTCCGAGCTAATTTAATGACGGTCATCGGCGATTTCACGAATAGGCTTGTAGCAAAGAAACGGAGGGGTAGGAGGACTGTCAGTGCAAATACGACGATTCGGGG